CCCTCTTGGGGGTCCCAATAATAAGAACTATAGTACTTTGGGGTCTATATGTTGGGGTCCTCTTATTGTGGGAAACTACCATGTGACGGCTTTCATCCCTTCGTCAATATGGCGCTACCCGGAAAGGTCTCAACCCTAAACCTATCTAAGTTGGACCCGCCAAAGGCAACCCAAGTCAATCAAAAGCAGAAATATTTCTATACCGAGACACCTGGGCACACTGTAGCCAGCCTTAACCCAACGACGCTCAGGGAGCTTCGATTAAAAAAGGGCTTGCCAGTATAGACACCGCAATAGCATAATCATCCAGACTGTAGGCACTTTCAAACCTTGGAAACCCCAATCCAAATAAGCCACGATATAGACTTAGTTTCCATTTCGATGTCCATGTGCTTGTCCATCACTGGGGCTATGGACCCCTGATTTCGGACATCCCCATTTCAAGTTGGGTGTCTCAAGTTGAATGTATACTCCTGAACTCCAACTGAACACAACGATGTTGTATAAATCGTTATATTAGCTATACCTGTGTACAACGACCCATTTCCCTAAGTAACCCGTTGCACGCTCACCTCAAGCCATAGCAAACATCCTAGCTTATGTAGAAGTTTGAATAACTTACTGAGGGATTCCTCAAGTTGTCGGAATCTTGGGGCAAGTCTGAGGATTCAGAGCTTCCAGTACGCCGTGCCACTAAGGTCCCATAAGTGGTCTAAACCCTGGATCAGGCAAACACAAGACTAAAACTGCTCCTCGCCGCAACCAAGTCTCCTAACAAACGCCTCTCGCCTATCTCAACTGAGGATGCACCCCATTTGCAATTCCCGAGAATGATGCTCGCTGGCCTCCCCAGCTTACAGGTGTACTGTGCAATTATGCCGGTGGGACTACTTGGGCATTTCCGAAAATCGGGGCTCCCTGTTTGGGAGATCTACAAGAAGGATTCCAGAATATTATTGGCTCTATATTGCAGCTGGGCTCCGTGATTTATGGACACTACCGATTGGGACTACTTCATGGTTCTGGAGTTTGACAGTCTCCCACATCCTGAACCCCAAACCGCGCTCTCATTTTCGTGACCCATCTTCCGGGTAGACTACAATGCCAAAGCCTGGACATTCGGGAATCTGAAGCATCTTCGTTCATTCTTACTAGTACTAGACTTTTACCTTCATTGCTGGTACTATCATTACTACTCATATGACTGCGATACTGTTATAACTATACTACTACTAGTCCTAGTGCTGTTATTGCTATGACTATTATAACTAGTACTAGTATCCATAATACTTATATTACTATTACTACTATTACTGGTATTTATATTACTATTACTACTCTTACCATTATTTCCAATGTTCTTATATTACCAGTATTCATAGCTATTACCAGCATTCTTGCTCTTGCTTGGGCCCCCATGCACCAACAGATATTCTCCATGCATGGGTTCTTACAGATCACAGCAAACTAAGGTCTCATGCGTGCTCGGCCGAAGACCATTTGTGCCTGTGCAGAATCCTGCATGCGGTGGATTTGACTGTGGTGGCTTTTGTTGGGCTTGATGCTCTATTTCTGGAGAACTAGCCCCATACATGATCCAGGGTTGCTATCCCCCAACCCAGCCCCCCCATGGTATGGTCCCCCTCCTCACCCCTGTGGACCGTGGTTGTTGTGGTCCTGTTCCTCCTGTGGCACCTATGCTGTGTTGGTGATTCTCCCCTCCTTCTGTGGTCTCTGTGTTCTGGTGGTCCTGTCCATGTGGTTCTGCTCCTGTCCCTGTGGACCCTGTGGTTTTTTGTGGTCTGCTGTGCTCCTGTGAGAGGCAACCTGTGCGTTACTGTCCTCTCTACGGTACATACAGACAACAAGGCGGTCAGGTGTCTCCTTTCTACACTCAGTCACAGAGGTGCTGGTAGTCCCTACACTAGAACCTGGAGCATAGGACGTCATGCATTGGTGGTTGGACATGTGACTGCACTGGCAGGAAATTCAAAGCTTCACCCTTTGGTACCTATGCTGTGCTGGTGATTCTCCCCGCCTGTGGTCCTGTGGTTCTCGTGGTCCTGTCCAATTAAGAGGGTGTGGGTATTCATAGATGATCCGGCTTCATATCCCATATGATTTCTAATGCTTCTACCTTAGTTCTTCTAATGATTTTGGACACAAGTTTGTTTGGAGGTTCCTCTAGTGCCAGGACATGATAGAGCCTAAGTAGGGCTATAGCCCCAGGTATAAACAGCACAAAGGTCTAACAGTGACGACAGTTACAAGGATCGCGATTCCAGGAGGCCCCTTCCCTGTGACTGTTGGCGCTTTCCAGACGCCAAGACCACAAGGAGGTCCAAAAGTGATGACAGTTACAAGGATAGTGACATTAGGGGCCCTATCCCTGTAACCTTTGGCACCTTTGAGACGCGACGAAAACACGAGGAGCCAAAAGTGACGACAGTACAAGGATGGCAGCGTTGAGGCATCAGAAACGACGACAGTTACGAGGATCGCGACCTCTCGTGGGGAGGAGGGGGGCCATACCATGGAAAGGGGGGGGGGTAGGATCCCCAGGACCGGGATCATAAACCACTGCGAGCTAGGAAACTCACAATGTAGTCCAGGGCATCATCGCTGTAGAATTCTGACCTTGGGTATGGATTGCTGTTTCGGTGAGATACCCTTAAAGCCAAATTCATCCTGATCACCAACGGGATGAAGGCTTGGAGAATTTCCGGAGTCAAGCAGTTTGGCATCTATAGCCTAATGGTTTTCTAAACGGGAGCACGGCTTCGCGACTTTCAGGCTCATGAGCATGAAGACAGACCCTGATTCGAACTAACGGAAGGGTCGCGGGCTGCACCTCAGAGCCAGCCTGCTTTTGTCCCAACATGTTACAATCCTTGATGTACAGGCGCATAGAAAAAAGACACCTGATTTCTGGAAACCTCAGCATTTGCTAGGCGGCAGCCTCAACATTTAGAGGCACAGCGAATTGTAGCGTGAAGCAGGCTACAACCTTGTCGTAAATTTTGAGGACGTCAGCAACCGGGATGAAAGACTTTGTTCAACAATGGTGCTCATAATGTCAGAAACCCTTTAGAACAGAAATACAAACTTGAAGCACGTCCTTCAACGGATATCTGCTGGCGCTACTCCTCATTGCAACCACCCCGCGTTATCCTCATATGTGGTTTGTCTGAAAAGCCAAAATGAAATCCCCTGATTCGTTTGGGGGGGGGCTCTTCAATGAAACTTCATTGTGCGAAGTTGCGCGACCTAATGTAAAATGATGTTTTCTGAGAGTACAGTAGCGCAGCGGAATGAAACTTAATCATTTGCTTTCTGAACTATGGGACATTCCGATTCAACTTCCAAGCTGCACTAGAATGTTCGGTTAGCATGTTTGCCTCAAGGATCTTAAGCTTCTGCTATCGACTTCTGATTAAACCACTGGTCCGAGGAGGCTACGCAATCATGTTGCATGGGGCAGGTCCAGCAGCTGCTCGGATTTTCCTTAAGAATACAAAGGTTTCGAGGGGTCTCAGCGATCCCAAATTCTCGTGCCCCCTGGGTATTCCAGAATGCAAAAGCCTTTTAAAATGACTTTAGCTACAGAACTCCGCAGCCTTCCTCCTTTTTTTTTAAAGTTAAAGCTGATTCTGAGCTCCGGAACCCCTGCTCCGACTGAATCGTATTAAAAAAAAGGTTCCGAGCTCGTCACACTCCTACCGTTCTCCTCCTATTGAAGTTCGCGTAGAAAGATTCTTAACTCCGAAAACATTCCGATTGAATTTCAATTAAAACTACGACCCGAATTTGTTGAGGGGAAGGTTTCCCCCCTTCACTATAGAGGGCACCATTTTCGTTGGGGAGGCGGGGGTTCCTATAGCAAACTAGTCAGGCCCCAACAGCAGTCGTCTCCAAGAAGTAAATGTCATATAGGATATATAGGGAATATTGAGAAATCAAATAATAAGCAAATGGAAAATGAAATGCAAACTTATAAGTTTATATAGGGGAGGTTTAGAGGCATGAGCCGAAATCAACGCACCGACCAATGCGCAAGACAAGCGTCTCGGTGCCGTTCTCCAGGCCCAACCAGTTTGGAAAGGTCCATGGTGCAGCATACACCTTTGCTATTGCAAGGATTTTGATTACTCCAACCCCTATAAGAAGGATCCTATAACCATCATAACATGACAATCATAGGGTCCTAATCTTGGGTGGCGTAACTAAAATCCCCTCATTATTTGTGGATATATTGCTGTGGTCTTGGGATAAAGCCAGGGTCTGAACTAAACAAGGCTAATTAAATGTTGGGGTTTAAGGTTTGGATAATTGGGGTTAAGCCTACTTGCTGAGCCACCCGGACCCTCCAAGCAGTTAGCTGAAGGCCAGTTGCCACAATAGCCGGATTTCGGATCCGGGCCTCGCGACACATCACGGGGACCGAGCTTGGGGGGGTGCTGTTAAGGACCTTAATCTAAGTTACTATATTGGGGAAACCCTATGATTTACTACATATACCCATTATGGTACCTTAAGTTAAGTTCCTCAACAACAACCCAATATTAGTGCATGCTGTGAGGGATGAGGTTGGAGCAACATATCCGCCGCGCTTTGTCAAGGGGTTTCTCGGCAGAGTTGCTTGACAAGTTCCTAGGCCAATGCCACAACCTGCGGGGATCGTTGAATATGGGGCAGTCAAGGAGCAAAGCTTGATGTCATATGTCATAGTTCAAGAAACTCACTATATTTCTCCTGCACTAGGTGAAGACCGGGTAGAACAGGTTGAGACTTTCCAGCCACACATAGCGACGTTCAGGAAAGCCTTGTGGCAGTCAGGGCGATAGTTCCCCTGCAGAAACCTCACTGGGGACCGACATAATCTGCTTGATTCTCTTTGTAATCCTCATCATTACAGCCTTAGGGCCCAAGGTTTGTGAGAGTACTCCCACGCTGACAACATAAGCGCGAACTCCAGCAGGCTCCAACCCTCAGCGCTACACGAGACATTACAAAGAGTAGCATCCCGCAACGAGAAAGCCCCGAACCACTGAACCTAATTAGACAGCGGCAATTAATATCTTTCCTTCCTGGGCTCGCATGCCTGCGACATCGCAACCCACGTGACTGCTGCTGCTGCTGCTGATGCTGCTTCGGGCTGGTAGGCATTGGGTTCCACAAGTTTCCTGTGGATCATACACCCGCTCAGGAGCATAACACCTGCCATACGAGACCGGGTGCTCACCTTCTCAAACGCGGTTGAACAAAACATCTGCATGCCGCATGCCCCTATGCACATTATAGCTGGGGAAGTACGGTATTGAGGTATATTCAGGTGACACAGAATTTTTAACATCAACACATGCGATCCAAGTTTTGGTTTCTCCCATGATTTTTCTCCTGCCTCGCGTATGAGCCAGAATGTCCGAACACGCCCGCACACCTGGCAAACTGCTCATGGGGGGTTGCAATGGAATACACAGGCTTTAGGGGTTTAGGGTCGCTTTTGGGGGCCCTATTGGGTTTGTATTGGGATGTATAGAGTTCAGGGTGGAGGGCTTCCAAGTTAGCAGGGCCTTCGTGGGGTCCCCTAGAAAAAGGATTACTTACAACCAAAAAAGTAAAAGAAGTTTTGGGGGGTAAGTTCCAAAATGCCTGTCTGGTAGTTTCCATGCAAAGGGGAACCCAAATAACTGCTCCCCAAGCACTAGAACCCCTATTAACGGGACCGCCAAAAACGTACCGCTCTTTGTTTGCAGCACAAAACGGTCTGATGATTTCCAGGCTTAGTCTTCCACGCCCCTAAACCCTAAAAACTCTAAACCTTAAACCCTTAAACCCTAAATCCTTTGCTTGCACAGCAGTGAAGGATGCTTCCAAAACGGTCAACCAAAAGCAACACTGTCGAGGTCCCTCTATGACCCTACTTGCAGGGAGAATCATCCTGATGAAGCCAAGGTTTCTAGTCCCCCTCAAGTAGATAGAATATAGGGTATATGGGGATCTTATTATAATAGACCCGAAGCCATATCCTATCTACTTAAGGGGGAATATAGCCATTGTTTCCGTTTGATTTTCCGTTTTCTTGTCCATTCGATTTTCCACTATTAGGGTTCTACATCCCTAGATCCTAAACCCGAAGGCCCTAAATAATGATTTCCGTCTTCTTTTCCGTTACTGCTCTGAAACCTAAATATTACTTAACTACATTCCCCTGTATAGCAATGTCATGCCAGGCTACAGACTTGAGATAGCCAGCTTGCTGCAAAGCATAAATGACAACATCGCTCAGCCTTCTTGCTTAGGGTCTAATATTGAGCTAACATTATTAAAGGGGGTGCCAATAATATTTTGTTGCCGGGCCAGAAGAATCCCGGCAGACTACGTTTGCTTTCCAACAAGTTCGGAGCCTGACAAAAATGAACAAGTTCCAGCGGCAATAATGAGGGGTGACAATAACTGTAGCGTTGCCCGAAAATGTCCAGATTCTACTAGATTCCCGTCTACTTGTACTACTAGTACTTCGAGCTGCGCCACCTGATCATAGAACAACCCTTTGGCTGAGTACTGCGAACCCCCCTGTCCGTAGATCAAAAGCGCAAAACAATATCTGGGGGTGGATTCTTTCTTGTCAGCTCAACATTAGGGTTTGGGGTAGTTGCTGTGCGGTGCTCAATGAATTAAGCAGTACCCCACAGTAATACAATTCTTTCAAGGGGGGCGAATAATCATTGGGGGGAAGGGGCGGGGGAAGTTCATCATTACGAGCATGGGGAGTACTATCGGTCGTGCCCAAGGCTAGTCCCGAGATGTACCATAGCGACGTTACCTAGACCCACGGTCTTGCAAACTGATGCGGGGCCAAATTATCGGAATAATTCTGGGTGTACACTTGACAAAAACATATCAGGATTGTGACGGAAAGTATCGGTAATGTTTCAGGCTGGCCTACATTACAACCCCTATGAAGCCTGATATAACCCAAGTTTCAATTCCACCGTCCATGTGGTTGACCAACCCCATCAACCACATTGCCATACATGCTCTGCTCTTGAAGCGTTTTTTCTCTGAGCACATTGCTCTTGCAAGGGCCGTTGTAATTGCTAGCTAAGCTCCTAGCAGTTGAGCGAAACACTGGCCCTGTAAACAAGGATTGAATATCTGGCTTGAACGAACCACAGCCCTAATGTGCGAAACAAAGGCACAACATTCCCAAATTTCCCGCGCCCGTTTGTCGTCGATGATTCCGCGGCCTGCTCGATTGGAAGACATGGTCACATTTCTTCATTCGCAGAGCGCGTGGGATGGACGTAACTATCTTGGCCAGAATGGATGCTGTGGTCAGCGGAGGTATATGGCATTGACGTAATTCAGTATGTCGCCAGCATTGATGCTCGGTGACCGTTGCTGTCCCGGAGGCGAAGTAGCTGCATGCACCCCCTCCATACACAACACAGGGGTTTCCAGGAAGTGGGGGCCCCCGTGGAGGAGGCTGCCAGAATGAGGGTTGTGTATCATCCTACACATCATGCTGCACGAGACGGCGCAACGGAAGATTGGAGACCGCGCCTGTCTGGAGTCTGGAAGGCAAACAGGAGGCCGATACCCCAACCCTCCGCGCGCCACCATCTTTAGGATTTAGGTTGAAGGTGAACAGCAGGCGGCTCGTGAGAGACAAGCTGACATGAAAAAACAAAGCCCAACATCGTCGTGATGATGATGATGATGATGATGATCTGCGTCCGGCAAACTAACATCATAGTTTTGATTATCGTTTGCCTTTCATTTGCGACACCCACGCGTTTCACAAATTCTGTCCCTGGCTCAGGGGACATCCCGGTTTAGAGTTCAAACGGGGGAGGACTGAGATGTGCCTTCTCGAGCATTATTGCTTTTTCTTCCTCTTTATCGTTGCTCCAAGAAATGGAAAAGGCGATGCAACTGCAGCCTATCCTTACTTGTATTTTCATTCTGGATGCACAGGGCTGCAAATCAGAGTATGACATTCCAGTACTACGATCGATCAGGGGAACAGTTGACATTGCAGGGGCAGAGGATTTACAGGAGTGTTCGTTTCGCCCAACAGCTTCCCAAGAAATATTCGAAAAGCTCCACACTTCTACCAAGAAGAACCCAGGCAACTCAGAAAGGCAGTTTTGAATCCTTGTCAGAATCCGGGCTTTGAGACCCCCTTTACGTGAGGGCTTCCAATACGCCCAGTGTAGAGGTCCTTACAGAGTCGGTGGTCCTTCTTGGTCCCCCAACAATATGGAGAATCAAATGGAAGAGAGAGTGGGAATTGGTTTTATATGGTGGCTCATAGGAATTCAGAGGTCCGTGGGTTTAGCGTCTAGGGGCCTGCACTTGCAGGCAGATGGGTCTCTAAGAGTTGGGGTCATTCAATGCCAAAACGTAGTGATACGTCTCGAACACTCCTTTTTCTGTAGCACTGATCTCCACAAACTACTATATAATATCAATTTTCACTTAAACGTCCATTCTTGCTTCCTTTTGATTCTCCATTGCTGGGGTAAAATTCTGCTTTTGTGGGCCATGAACCTCCGAGCAGTACACGTCGGGATCCATCAACGAACCTTACGGTTCCCTTGGCAACCTTGCTACAAGGAAACTTCTTTCAACATGTAAGGCTCATATATGGGGGTTACATGAGGGTTAGGCGTGGGCTATACAAAGATTCTTTTGGAGTACATATAGGGCCTATATTAGGGGCCTTTTGCGGGCGTCTCTTGGGATTATATGGGGATCTTCATTGGCCTTAGAATCATGCAACCACGGCCACGGACGGCCTTAGGGCTCTGCTGTGGGGATAGGAATGTGAAATCATCATGGAGATTGCTGCCAAAAGGGACCGCAAGATTGAGAGACCTGTGCGTTGTTTGGCCTGGCAAGCCGCAACGTGGCCAAACAAGACAGAAGGGATGGCTCAGTCTTAACTCGTAACCTAGTTGCTGAGTTCCCTTGCCCCAAAAAGGTTAACCTTTATATTATATTAGGACTATATATACCCCAAAAGGTTAAAGGTTGCCTACCCAGCTACTAAGGTAAGAATCCCAAGATTCACCCCTGTGTTCATCCTTCTCAAGAATCATTTCGTCAGCCCTCAGAGCTTTTTGGGGGTCCCTAGAATAAGGACTATCCTATTGTGGGGTCTATATTAATTATAGAGGATATATTGGGATAATGGAAATGAAAATGGAAAAAAGTGTACTGGCACTCCACGGAACCACTTGAAGTGGCCTTGAACAGATGCTAGGGTTGTACGATGGGCCATATTCGGAATAATCTTGGGGTTATATGGAGATAACGGAAAAGAAAATGGAAAGTACTATAATGGGCTAGAGGAAAGACAGTTAGGAATGTAGCAACCTCTCTACTGGCAATTGCAAAAACTACCCACAAGTT